AAATTGCTTCAGTGGGATCATGCTGCTTAGTGGGTATTATATGCAGTGGCATGTTATACATTGCAAATGCTGGAGATTCTCGTGCGGTGTTAGGAAAACGGGAGAGGGCTCTGAAAGAGGTCAAAGCAGTTCAATTATCTTCTGAACATAATGCGAGTTTGGAATCTGTCCGTGAGGAACTGCGCTCACTGCATCCTGATGATCCAAATGTGGTAGTTTTAAAGCACAAGGTTTGGCGTGTGAAGGGAATTATACAGGTATTGTAGTTCCATGTTATCATGCTCACTGTGCGGCTCATTACACACACTTATTTATTGGATCTTCTGACTGAATTGCCATTTCCACCTATAGGTGTATAAAGAAACTATTTCAGTTTTTTGGTCTTTCCTGTCCAGTGAGGAGGTGCGAGAGGTTGGATATAGTGGGTACAAGGAGAGGTAGAGGTATGCCGAAAAAGTATTGAGGAGAGGTGATTAGATAGGATCACAAGACATAGCACAACTTCAGCTTACCCAGGACATGACCTTAGATAGGAGGGTGTTGAGGTCGCGGATTAGGGTAGAAGGTTGGTAGGTTATGAAGCATTGTCTTTCTTTTCAATGGGTTTTAGCTTGGTGGTTCCCGTCGCAGTATTGGCCGTATTCTTGTAGTTTCTTGCTTTTGATATCTTTCATCAGTGGATATAGTGTTTTGATTATCAAATTATTTTGTTGTTGTTATTGGAGCTTTCTTGTATGCTCTGGATTGCCTTCCTTATTACTTGCTATGTTTTCTTCACTGTCTTTGTTTGTTTTTAATACTTGGATTTGATGCACTTGAGCTAAGGGTCTTTCGGAAACATCCTCTCTACCTCCAAGAGCTAGGGGTAAGGTTTGCGTACACTCTACCCTCCCCACCCGGGACCCCACTTGTGGGATTTCACTGGGTATTGTAGTTGTTGTTGTTGGTCTGTCCTGTCCTATTTTTGGCCTTCATTTCGCTGTCCATCGTTACCCCTAGTGGGGGAAGAGCGAAGACAGTTAAAAAAGAAATCACTTGTGCTAATACTTCGTAGAATCTTTGCAACATATCTAAGTGTCTGAAGCAGATGACATCAACTTGATATTATGATGCTGAAATTTCAATGCATTTGCAGGTTTCAAGATCAATTGGTGATGCATATTTGAAGAGAGCGGAGTTTAACAGAGAGCCTTTGCTCCCTAAGTTTCGATTTCCTGGAACATTCCAGAAGCCTATTCTCCTTGCTGAGCCATCGATATTTGTACAGAAGCTCCTTCCAGAAGATCAGTTTCTCATATTTGCGTCAGACGGCTTATGGGAGCATCTCAGCAATCAAGAGGCTGTGGACATTGTCAGCAGTTGTGAACACCATGTAAGATTGTCCTTATTTAATTTTGATAAGGAGGAATCTCCTCGGTTATCAAATCTTCTAGTTTTTCTTGTCATCATATCATTCTCATTTGTCGACAAGAGCGAGTGACAGAGAGCACTTCCTTCTCTTCCGGTGTGCATATCTTTGATGGTAAATTTCCATTAAAAAGGAACAACTTATGTGTAGCTTGTGATTAGATGCAGCTGTTAAGATCTCTCTCCCTATTTTCTTATAACAAACAACAACATATCAGGGTAATCCCACAAGTGGGGTCTTGGGAGGGTAGGATGTACATAGACTTTATCCCTACCTTTGTGGCGGTAGAGAGGTTGCTTTTTGATAAATCCTCGGGTCAAAAGAGTACAATCGAAGTAGGATATAAAGGAAACTAACGACAACACAATAGCAAGATAAACAAAGCAATTGAAGTAACATGTAGCAGTAAAAAAGAAGAATAAGATACTATGTGAATACTAGGTAAAGTACTAAATAGGGAGAAGATGAGAAGAGGAGACTAGATTCCTGCTTCTCCCTCATAAGAGTACTACAACATACGGCTAACTACTATCCTTCTACGGTAATCCTCGACCTCAAAACCTTCCTATCTATGACCCCTGTTTTCTCATCTCTTGCCAACATGAATGCAACTCGGAAAACCTTTCCCCATCTCGATCCTCTCCTTCCGTGTTGCTTCCTTTCTTTCATCTAAAACATCAATAATAACTACGCCTCAGCCCAAACAAGTTGGGGTCGGCTATATGAATTTTCATTGTCCATGTTATTGCATTTAAACTCATCTCATTCCAATATTATGCAAATACAAATAAAAAGTATTATAAATTCTCGATAGTTTGTAAACATAAGTAATCTATGGGTATGTTGCTTGTATCATTCATATCGACTCATGAGGGGTGGTCACAGTGAAGTGTTTTTTCCTTGTGGTTCTTGATTCAACGGGCGTCCAGTTTCCACATGTATGCTTTTACTTGTGTTTAATGTGTCTCTCTAGACATCAACACTAGTTAGTTGATTCTTTGAATATTCCATTATGCAATTGAGCATGTAAGTTTTGTAACAGCGATTTACATTGACTGACTGTTGGCACTAAAATTATTATGTCAGCTGTTTCTCTATTGAACTAACATTTCCAAATTTGTACAGGGCATTGCTAGAAAGCTTATAAAAGCCGCCCTTCAGGAAGCAGCGAAGAAAAGAGAAATGAGATATGCGGATCTGAAAAGGATAGATAGAGGAGTGAGGCGGCATTTTCATGACGATATCACAGTCATAGTTTTGTTTCTTGATTCTCACTTGATTAGTCGCAGTTCCTTCCGTGCACCTGTGGTTTCCATAAAAGGAGGCGGAGGTCCTTGAGGTGCCAATACCTAGAATAAGTTACCTATAACCTACCTACGTCTAATCCCTCGAGTTTATTATGAGTAGTTCAGAAAGTGACAGAGAGAAAAAGAAAAAAAGTATGTATAACTTTGCTCCTTGGGATCTCACCATAAATGGTAAGTTGATGATTATGCCATGAACATTGCTTGGGGCAAATTTTGTCAAAAATTTTCACTCATTGGCATATGAAACTTTGAAAGTTAAAGGGCAAGACTGAAAACTAATTTTGTTTCTGAAGTGATGTTAAAAGACTCCATATTTGAGTGCTCCAATTTACTTTTCTTGAATTCATTTGTTTTTCTTGTCAACATCCATTTAATCCAAATAATTTTTTTTTTTTTTTTGCTGTGTTTAGATGTTTGTTGTAATTTGATTCACAAATTTACTTTACTTCTTATACCTAGGTCCAGGGGAAGACATGTACGGAACCTCCTTCGACAGCAAATTATCCTGTTTATACATAAAATTATTTTTCTTTATATATATATATTTGATGTGGAATCCCCTTTGGCTTCTTCCTATGTTTTACTTCGTTTTTTGAATCCTTGGTGAAAATTCTGACTTAATCGGCTCGCCCCTCTACCCTTTTCCATTGAAGTATCAAGATTTTATATGATGTCTGGCCAGCCTGGAAGCTTAAGATATTCTAATATAAAGACTCAACAAAGAATTTCATTAAGAAATATACTTCTATACAAGTTCAAGAACCATGCATTTTAAGATAATTTAATACAAATACTCATCAAAGACTTCATTAAGATACACATACACTTCTACATGTTCATGTACCAGCCTGGAATTTTAAGATTACGCAAACCTTACCCCTGAGACCTTGGAGGTAGAGAGACTGTTTCAGATAGATCCTCAGCTCAAGGAAAAGACAGATAGTCCAAAGCATTATATAGAAATAAATAATTAAAATGAAGAAGTCATGACAAAATACTATAGACAACCTGACAAATCATCCTGAACAGTAATGATAAATGACTTATAATATGGGATGGTTCATGGCTTGGAGTTGACAACGACTATGTCAAAGTCAATGTAGTTATAATAGAACTAAAGAAATACTTCATCAAGAGTTTTTGAAATTTCCTTTATAATGTTTCATCCAAACGAAAGTGAGATGCACACAAGATCATATATAATTTGGAGTTTTTTGAATAATGGATCGTGAAAGTATTATGCAAGCAGCTCAGATACATTTAGTTGTTGCAACTCTAATAATGACAGTCACCTTCACTGCTGGTTTCACATTGCCAGGAGGTTTTGACAATGATATCAATAGCCCTAATAAAGGGATGGCGATTCTATTAAAGAGAACAGCATTTCATGCATTTGTTGTTACTGAGATGCCATCGCGTTTACATCCTCAGCTGTTGCTGTATTCACATACTTCACGATGGCAGCAAGTGCAATATCTGTAACAGAGTTGCCAGTTGTGATGAGGCTTTATAAGTTTGCAACTTTTTTGCAGCTTGTGGCAATGTCAGCTGTTGTGATTGCATTTGTAACTGGTATGTATGCTACTTTAGCACATTCAGTTGGTCTTGCTGTTACTGTCTGTATCATTGGTTGCATATCTTTTGTTATGTGCTTGTGGGTTACTTATGTTCTTGGAAGCAAGGCATAGAGGAAGAACACGAGTAGAGAGCGAGAGAGACATCGTGATCAATCCTACCTGAAACTTACTACAAAACTTGCAAGTTGTTATTCTGTTTTTCATGTTATCGTGTCATATGGTTGATTGGGAGAGTTACATGTTATTCCAGGTCAATATAACCTGATAGCGTAAAAATTCTTTACGACATGACATAAACTCTTTGCCAATGAGCAAGGTTTTTCGAATTCATAGAAAACTATGGTGATTAAACTGTGTGCTAAGTCAGTGAAACAGAGGGAGTATAATTAAAATAAAGCAAAACTCAAACAACATATCATCCTTTTCTTTTGATCAAAGGCATAGTTTATGTAGCAAATCCCTCTCTTCCAATGAAGGCAAGTAACAAATTCATTTCTTTTTGTCAAGGGCAAATAATGATACTTAGGTTTCTATTTTAGAGATTCTAATATAATGAACTCTTTCTATATATATGGTTTTGCAAGCAGGGTAAATGCATTCGGAGCTAGCAAGACAACAGAGGTTAGATAGCTCTGGAGGAAAAGGAAGGTTGAGATCATCCACTTGTACATGCGAAGATGAATCCAGATAATAATGATATAGGAATAATCAAAATGTTTAGGGATGCAGCTCAAACACATATAGTTGTGGCTGCACTACTAGTGACGGTTACCTTTGCAGCCGGCTTCACACTACCAGGAGGTTTTGAGAGCGATAAAGATAGCCTTGATAAAGGAATGGCGATTCTAACAAAGAAATCAGCATTCTGTGCATTCGTTGTCGCAGATGCCATTGCCTTTGTATGCTCCGCGGGGGCTGTGTTTAGCTACTTTTTCATGGCAATGACTCATTGCCCCACGACCGAACTAGAGCTGAGCATTCTGACGGACATTTACATGTTAGCAACAGTTTTGCAGTTCCTATCAATGTCAGCTGTTGTTATTGCATTTGTAACTGGTTTGTATGCTACTTTGGCAAATTCAGTTGGTCTAGCTGCTATTGTTTGTGTCATAGGTTGCCTTGCGTTCCTTATTTATGTCTTGGTTTTCTATCTTTTTTTCAAAAGATTGATCGAAGACAGAGCAATACCAAATCAGTAGTGGCAGGGCCAGAAATTTTACTAATTAATGAGACGAGAATTGTATCTTGTTCGTCTGTTTACTTCTTTATATTTTGAATAGCCTTAGTAAAAATTCTGACTCTGTCACCATCTTGTATGGTTTGACATATTTTATGTGGAAGCTTTGTAGTTAACAAAACTTCTATGGCAAAATTATTATGAAATCTTGTTATTGTACTATGTATTGTATTATCTTGGTTTGTATGCCTAAATCACTCTAGTACTTGGATGTAACTTGTTAACTTTAAGAACTAATAAGCATGTCTATTGTCCAACGAAACTAAAAGTTCAGGGGTGTTTTCAGTACGTCTCTCATATATGTTTCATGAAAAGAAACTAAAAGGCAAAGCAAGAAAACAACATATTATTTTTTATCAAGGCAAAGCAAATTATTCCTTTCTTCTGGTCAAGGCAAGCAATGTAACTTTTTTATTTTTCTATTATAGAGATTCATGAAGAAGCTAAGTCTAATATTTCTATATAAATGGCTGTTACTTTGGAAGCATGGATAACAAATTTTTGAGAAGGAATGGCTATGTTTATAAGGCAGGATCCTGAAAAATCCCGCGAAAATTCTATGAAGGCAGCTCAAATACATCTAGTTGTGTCTGCTTTAATAATGACAGTGACATTCACAGCTGGTTTTACATTGCCTGGAGGTTTTGACAGTGATAGAGTTAGCCCTGATAAAGGGATGGCGATTCTATTGAAGAGTACATCATTTGGTGTATTTGTTGTTACAAATGCCATTGCGTTTACAAGTTCAGCTGCTGCTGTATTCACTCACTTTGCCATGGGAGCAAGTATAACATATGTAACAGGGACGGTTGCAGGGTTAATGGTTACAGAGTTAGAAGTTATACCAAGACTTTATAAGATTGCAACTTATTTGCCGTTTGTGGCAATGCCTGCTGTTGTAATTGCATTTGTAACTGGTATGTATGCTACTTTAGCACATTCTGTTGGTTTAGCAGCTACTGTTTGTGTCATAGGTTGCATCTCTTTTGTTTTGTATGTATTGGTTATTGTAGTCTGGTTACAACTGGAGTAACATAACGTAATGTTAAAGAAAAAAATTTCATTTTACTGTTTGTGTCATCAATTGCATCTCTTTTCTTTTGTACGTATTGGTTATTGTATGTATTTTGTTTAAAGGAATCCAGCTCCTCTCCATTTCTCCTCTCTTTTCTTCGTTCAACTTTCTTTGTGAAATGCGTCTAATTGGTACACTTTGAGCCTAGTACGAGTGTTTTCAATCGGAACGAGTCTAATTGGTACACTTTGAGCCTAGTACGAGTCTAATTGGTACACTTAGAGCTAGCAAGACAATAACCTCTGACTAGAGGAAAAGAAAGGTTGAGATCATCCACTCGTACATACGAAGATGAATTCAAATGATAATGATACAAGAATAATCAAAATGATTAGGGATGCAGCTCAAACACATATAGTTGTGGCTACACTACTAGTGACGGTCACCTTTGCAGCCGGCTTCACACTACCAGGAAGTTTTGAGAGCGATAAAGATAGCTCTGATAAAGGGATGGCGATTCTAACAAAGAAATCAGCATTCTGTGCATTCGTTGTCACAGATGCCATTGCCTTTGTATGCTCCGCGGGGGCTGTGTTTAGCTACTTTGTCATGGCAATGACTCATAGGCCAAAGGTCGAAGGACTGTTGGACATCGTTTTAACACAAAAAGAGCTGAGAATTCTGAGGAAAACTTATATACTTGCAACAATTTTGCTGTTTCTATCAATGTCAGCAGTTGTAATTGCATTTGTAACTGGTTTGTATGCTACTTTGGAAAATTCAGTTGGTCTAGCTGCTACTGTTTGTGTCATAGGTTGCCTTGCGTTCCTTATTTATGTCTTGGTTTTTTATGTTCTTGTCACAGCATAAATAGTGGCGGAGCCAGAAATTTTACCAAGGAACCAGGAATTGTATCTTCTTCCTTTGTTGAATCGTTCCTGCGCTAGCTCCGTCACTATTTGTAAATATGTGCAAGGTTTGTAGTTAAGAGAACTTTTTATGTCAAAATTATTATCAATTCTTATTATTGTACTATATACTTAATATATTATCTTGGGTTTTAATGCCTAAATCACTTCAGTAATGTTTCTATATTTCCTTAATGAGAAGTTTTTATAGTCACACGAGGCATATTTAAGACTACATGTTTCAAATGTAATTAAGACCACAAATTTTAAAAATCTTCCTTTCTTAAATTTTGTGCTAAGTTAAACTTGGACGAGACGAACAAAGTGAAAGAAAGGGAGTAATTAAAATACAGCTTGGAGTATATATGTTTCATGAAATGGAACTATAAAGCAAAACCCAAACAACATATTATCCCTTTCTTTTGATCAAGGCAAAGTTTAGCTAGAAAATCCCTCTCTTCCAACCAAAGCAAAACAAAAATAAATGCCTTCCTTTTGATCAAAGGTAAATAATGATACTTAGGTTTCTATTTTAGAGATTCATGAAGAAGAGTCTAATATAATTAACTTTTTCTATATAATGGTTTTGCAAGCAAGGTAAATGAAGTCGGAGCTAGCAAGACAACATAGGTTTGATAGCTCTGACGGGAGGAAAAGGAAGGTTGAGGTCATCGACTCATACATAGGACGATGAATTCGAATGAAAATGATACAAGAAAAATCAGAGATATTATGAATGCAGCTCAAATACATCTAGTTGTAGCAACACTACTAGTAACAGTCACCTTTGCAGCCGGTTTCACACTACCAGGAGGTTTTGAGAGTGATCACGATAGCCCTCATAAAGGGATGGCGATTCTAGTGAAGAAACCAGCATTTTGTGCATTCGTTGTCACAGATGCCATTGCCTTTGTATGCTCCGCGGGGGCTGTGTTTAGCTACTTTGTCATGGCAGCTAATCACCGTCCCACGACCAAAGAAGAGCTGAGAGTTCTGGTGAACATTTACAGGGTTGCAACAATTTTGCAGTTCCTATCAATGTCAGCTGTTGTTATTGCATTTGTAACTGGTTTGTATGCCACATTGTCACATTCAGTTAGTCTAGCTACTTCTGTTTGTGCCATTGGTTGCCTCTCTTTCATTATTTATGTGTTGGTTTTTCATCTTATTTACAAAGGATTGACCGGAGAAACAACAAATCAGTAGTGGCGGGGCCAGAAATTTTACTAAGGAGACGAGAATTGTATCTTGTTCGTCTGTTTACTTCTTTATATTTGGAACCGCCTTAGTGAAAATCCTAGCTCTGTCACCATCTTGTATCGTTTGACATATTTTATGTGGAAGGTTTGTAGTTAACAAAACTTTTATGGCAAAATTATTATGAATTCTTATTATTGTACTATGTATTATATTATCTTGGTTTGTATACCTAAATCACTCTAGAACTTGGATGGAACTTGTTAACTTTAATAACTAGCCCAACGAAACTAATAATTTCTGCCAAATTCAGGGGTGTTTTCAATACTTCTCTCGTATATATTTCATGAAAAGAAACTAAAGGCAAAGCAAGAAAACAACAAATTATTTTTTATCAAGGCAAAGCAAATTATTCCTTTCTTCTGGTCAAGGCAAGCAATGTTACTTTTTTATTTTTCTATTATAGAGATTCATGAAGAAGCTAAGTCTAATATTTCTATATAAATGGCTGTTACTTTGGAAGCATGGATAACAAATTTTTGAGAAGGAATGGCTATGTTTATAAGGCAGGATCCTGAAAAATCCCGCGAAAATACTTTGAAGGCAGCTCAAATACATCTAGTTGTGGCTGCTTTAATAATGACAGTGACATTCACAGCTGGTTTTACATTGCCTGGAGGTTTTGACAGTGACAGAGTTAGCCCTGATAAAGGGATGGCGATTCTATTGAACAGTACATCATTTGGTGTATTTGTTGTTACAAATGCCATCGCGTTTACAAGTTCAGCTGCTGCTGTATTCACTCACTTTGCCATGGGAGCAAGTATAACATATATACCAGGGTCAGATGCAGGGTTAATGGTTACAGAGTTAAAAGTTATACTACGCCTTTATAAGATTGCAACTTATTTGCAGTTTGTGGCAATGTTAGCTGTTGTAATTGCATTTGTAACTGGTATGTATGCTACTTTAGCACATTCTGTTGGTTTAGCAGCTACTGTTTGTGTCATAGGTTGCATCTCTTTTGTTTTGTATGTATTGGTTATTGCAGTCTGGTTACAACTGGAGTAACATAACGTAATGTTAAAGAAAAATTTTCATTTTACTGTTTGTGTCATTAATTGCATCTCTTTTCTTTTGTACGTATTGGTTATTGTATGTATTTTGTTTAAAGAGATTCAGCTCCTCTCCATTTCAACTCTCTTTTCTTCGTAACTTTCTTTGTGAAATGTGTCTAATTGGTACACTTTGAGCCTAGTACGAGTGTTTTCAATCGGAACGAGGCCTACTTGAGGTGTTTAAACTGTGACAACTTTAGGTGCCTCCATATTAAGCCTATAGAGAATGATGATTGAAACATTCAATGAAACAGTCAGTACGACAGACAAGCTACTTTCTTATAGGACAGAAAGATCTTCTGTCTATTAGCATACTTGTAAAGCTACGAGATGGTGGTTCGAGTCATGCCATGATTAGTGAAGAACACAGTCGATCCTTAAGGTCGGGGGAAAAGAGAATGAAACAAGGAAAAATGACACAATCATTAGCCAAAAGCTTTCATCAAGTCAACAGCATTTGCAAAGACAATTCACATTTCAAATGAGTGTCAAGATTCATGAAAACCTGATGTTTCCTCTGTTTTTGCTCGTTTCGATGGAGGTGAACAACACATGTCTCTATCATCTGATTCATGATCTTCACGAGCTTTCTTGTCTGGTGAGTTCCCTCCAGAATTTGAACGATCGTTCAAACTCACAGGATCTTTCTCGAGTGCTTCTGATCTGTTGTTGGGAGATGTATGCTTCGTCTTGTTGGATGGTGAAGGATGTTCATCTGTTCTTGATGATGATGATACCTTTAAATCTTTCCCTATGTCCTTTGTCTTCTCAAACATCATTTCAAGGTATTTACCTTGTTCTTCGATCCGCAACTGCAACTTTCTCTGGATCTGAGGAAAGGGATATATTCAAACGATAAATATACTTGATAGATTTTTATTCTTTTATAACCATAGTTGATAGGAAATACAAGTATTAGAGGTGATCAAAAACTCTAACAAATAGGAAACAGGAAATGGAGAAAATATGATAAAGGAATCAGCTCCAAGTTCTGTTGCTCGGACTTTCCAAAACCTCACCCCTGTCGGATCCTCTAAAAATGTACTATTTTTGGAAGATCCAACATGCACCGTCAGCATTTTTGAAGAGTTCGAGCAACACAGGCTCCAAGTTGAGAGAAAAACAATTCTTTTCAGTTATGTGGTTATAGACGCTGTTTCAGTAACTCCCTAAAACTTGACATTTCATGAAATTACAGATATTAACTTAGGTCTCTGTATTCAAGTAGTTTCACTCAGAAAAGCTTCTAACTACCCGCCACATAAGCACTACGGATATTTTGTCAGCTACTTATGCCATGGATGATGATCAACTAAAACGAAAAAAAGTTACGGAATGGATTTAGTGACCATGTCATCTGCAATTTGATGGACTTGCAAGTTGTTAAATGTGGTGTGTTCTCCCTATCATAATTTCACACTGGAATACATTGAGATGTTGCTAAAATAGTGATAAACTTGGATATGTGTCTATATAGACACACAATGCACAGGATTTTTGAGATTATATTCTCAATTATCCAGAGATTTTTGACTTCTGATTTGACAATGAAAACAGGAGAAAGAAAAGCAAGAATAGATACATGAGTAATGGTGGAGATTTTGATCGTTTACGCACCTCAAGTTGTTCATGAAGCTGCTTTTGGACTTCCATCTGCATTCTTAGTGCTTCTGTTATCCCCATGGTCCTATTACCAAAATCCAGATATAGTTTTAACGATCAGTCACCACAAAAAAAGAACTTCAACTGCATCATCCAGGAAACGGAAATTGCAACCAGAATTAAATTAGAATTTAGCTGCTATCACAAGAATTCCGTATGCTACACTTTTTGGTCCTTCTATCGGATGCTTCCAAACAGAAGGACATGGACAAACCTTACATGTAAATGCCAAGTTTGTAAATGATGATCTTCATTTGTACTTTGGACTGAATTTTAATTGTTTTGGCAAGTAAATTAAATTAAAATAAAAAGACAGGGAGGGAGTGATATCTGCAGTTGTAAAATTACACATTCTTACAATCAAATAAACTTTGCTCATATGACATTATGTTTAACTTTTATGCCCCATAATGAACAGATATCCAAGAAGTGTGACGGCTGGATAATCAATAGATATGCATAGTGTGACAGCAAAGGCTTACGTTTTCAGGTCCAAAGATGGCATCTCTGTCACATTGGTGGTCTTCTTTTCCGGTATTCCTGTAATGAGATTACAGTCTCTGTGAATTTCAATCTTTTCATCTCAAAAACTGTGGGAAAGTCCAACAGACCATCAACAAATTTAACTTAAGATCACTAATTTTATTCACAGTTGGGCATCACTTTGACACATGCACAAGAAACTAGAGAGGCATGAAACACAAGTATGAGGAGATGTAATACGCATGTTTTTGTTTTGGCAAAATGTATACTGAGTCCTTGACGGATGCAAAAGTTATCAGCTAATCAAAGATGAAATTTCTACCTTCCGAGGGTTCTGGTTTGTATCTGGCAGTTCTATATTTCTGAAATTCAAAATGAAATGTATAAGTAAATAAATTGCTACCCCAGAAAAGGTTGACGAGAAGGATTTATTATACCTGTAAGTGGCTTTTGACATGATAGATGGTTAGGCCTTCAACATTCATGAGCTTCAAGACTCCCTTTGGTGTAGCTTCTGTAAAGTCAAATTCATGAATCCGATATAATAATGTTAAACGTTAACTCTTACTCATCCTAACCGCTAAAAAGAGAAATAGAACAAAGAGTCACGCACTTTCGCTCCCACCAAGCTTACTGATAGCTTCTACAAAGACTTCGTGAAGCTCGGGTGTCCATCGCATGCGAGGCTTCGTCAGTGCTGCAGTAGATGATGGGCTACCAACTAGGCAACTTTGCCCAGACAATGCAGCAGCAGCAGCAGGAAGAGGAGGAGGAGGAGGAAGAGTATCGGACTGGCAAGCATGGACTTCAGATTCTCCCAGAAACTGATTTGAAAAATGAGAACCAATTGTCAAATAAAGCAGAAAGAAAACAAGGAACCCGTACCATACAATCAGGAGTGGTTCCTATGCAAAGATGTGTTTAAAGTGTACAACAATATTAAATTTTGTTTCATGTACATAGACAAAAAAGAGAAATTTCTATGATAAATACTAAATTGTAACTTGGCAAAAGAGGTGATTACCTGCCCAAACAAACGATTCTGAAACAAACAAAAAGGTGCATACCACACCCACAAAGGAAACATTAGCAATAAGGTTACGGAAACGAACCTTAGTGTCTGGAGGATTGATATCAACAAGAATATCGCTCCAGCTCGAATCCAAAACATCATCATCATTAATTAGCTGATCAGACCAGTCCTGCCAATCAGATCTCTTAACCTGGTCATCAGACGTCATGACAACTGCAAGGCTTTCGACCTGGTCATTCTGAACAGGAACATTCATAGAAAAATTTATACAGTCATGATATGCATCTTCTCCCCAGGAATTATTGCTGTTTTCCATGGGATAATTATCCAATGATGTCGAATGTATGTTTGAGAGTGAAGATTGGCATGTTGCTGCAGAAGCTTCACTTGAAATAAATGGATAGTTATGCTGCCTACTTTCTTGAGAGGGGGTTGGAGAAAAGTGAAAATCTTTGTGGGGTCCAGAAGTGGAAGATAACAGATGCCCTACTGTTCCACTCTTAGATGCTGACGGGATTGCCCGTGAGGAAATGAGGTTTGTGGTTTGCTCCTTTTCTGTGAGCACATGAAGAGAATCTGGCACTTTTAGATACTTCTCTTCAAATGACGGCAAAATGGATAAAGATGTCGACATAGCTCCACAGACACCCATGTTACTGTGCTGTGTTTCACTAGATCTTTGAATACCTAATGCACGGTGCATGTTCATTTTTCCCCATAAATTGGATTAATAAA